GGGGGGGGGGGGGGGGGGGCACAGAGGCAGCCAGCCAGCCAGAGGCACACACAGGGCAAGAAAGTGTGAGTGGCTTGACCTGGTCGGAACGGCTGGCTGCTGATGTCATTGATTTCATTGATCGTTCAGACTGGTGACATATACTCGTGTGAGATGTACCCGAGGCACCTCAGGAGTCTCGTCCTCGAGGGCATACAGGCACGCATCGCGTCTGTCATGTCCATCACAGACAGACAGACAGACCCCAACATGTCGCCTCGCCCGCCTTGATGCATGCAGATGGCTGATGTGGAGGCGGGGGATGACTTCTGTGTCTCAGTCTCAGGTAACGTACTGGACTTGCAAACCAAACCCGGGAGGAACGAAGCGAGCAATGACACTCACGGCACAGCTGCACGGCGGGAGGCTTCTGTGTGATGTCTTGTGTCTTGTGTCTTGTGTCGTGTGTGTGGTTGTGTTGTTTGTTGTACATGTGTGTCGTGTCAGCGAGTGGCGTGATATACTTTTGGGGCAGGTCGGTGTGGCTGGAGCCCAAACCCATCACACTCAACCCGCAATACGCTAACGTGACTGACACACTAAGGAGAAGACAGACACACAAGACGGACGGCACACAGACAGACAGCCCCGTGTGTGTGTGTGTTGTGGTTGTGTGTGTGTGCAGGCTCCGATCAAGGGTCATGTGTTCAAGGTTGACGCGGGCATCAACTACGCCATGGCCGTCACAGAGGAGGGCGAGCTCTACTCTTGGGGCAAACCAAGCTCGGGATGCCTCGGAAGAGACGTACGCAACACCCCCCCCCCCAACACCCCCCACACACATCTCACATCCGTCCATCCATCCGCCGCCTCTCGTGTCTGTCTGTCTGTCTGTCTGTCCGTCTGTCCATCCATCAGAATCCCAAAGAGACGATTGAGCCCGTGTTGGTGCCCAACGAGCTGTTCGGTGGGCAGCTGGTGCACGACGTGGCGTGCGGTAGGTACAGGGTCTTGGCGGTGACCAGGGAAAACCCAAACCCTCCACCTTTGACACAAGAGGGCGACAGGGGCGCCTCCCTGGGTGGTGAGGAGGGGCAGGACAGAGCGGCCGGTGGCGGTGGGGAGATACCATCGTCACCACCACCAAGAGATAAGACAGAGACGGCATAGGTGTGTCGGTGTGTCGTGTGGTGTGGTGTGGTGTGGTGTTTGAGAGATGCTTTGGTTGGTTGGTTTGAGAGAGAGAGGACTTGCGTACTTGAGGGTGTGATGAGGGAGGGATGGTCGGTGGGGAGGGATGGTCGGTGGGGAGGGATGGTGCGTGGGCAGATAGATGTGACTGACGATACGATGGTGGAGGGAGGGAGGGAGGGAGGGAGCGAGGGAGAATGAATTAAATAACGTCGTTGTCATTGCAATAATTGATATCAATGCGTCTTCATCCGTGCCGTGCATTTGTACGTATGTTTATGTCTCCATCCATCCATCCATCCAGCCGTGCATGCATGCATTTGTGTCAGTTCCAAATGCACCACTCGCTCACTCACCAACTCGCGAAACATATGGTGTGTCCTGTCGTGTCTGTCGCCATGCAGACAGACAGACAGGCATGCCTGAGGCAAAAACATCCGTTGCCTTCCTCCCTCCCTCCTGTCTTTATCTCTATGGTACACGCACAAGACGCCAACCCACACGCCCATCCACAGCACACACACACATGATCGGATCGCAGCCATGCCATCCATTAGTGAGTGCTTAAATAAAAGCAGACGGCCATCCAGGGGGATGGATGACACAGAGAGAGGGAGGGAGAGAGAGAGAGAGCGAGTGAGCGAATGACTACCACGCACCTCATCGCGAACCGCACAGGCGATTGACGCGCAAGAGGGGAGCTCAACTCGCAGCAGCAGCAGAACACATTGAGAGAAACGCACCGCACGGGGGAGAAAGAAACAAATACACACACACAGAGAGAGAGAGAGAGAGGCAGGGGAGTAGCTGTCAGGCAGATGTGCAGGCAGCTTGGAGGGCAGGCAGGTAGGCAGGCAGACAGGCAGCGAGTGCCCCCTCCCCCTCCCTATCCCGTCCATCCACCCATCGACACGCATTTGTGTGTAAGTATCTACCTAGCTATACACATCAATCAATCAATCAGTCAGTCAGCCATCGATTCTATCTATCTTAGCCCTTCAAGCAGGCGAGTGGGGTGGCTTGCCGGGGGATGGCATGCCGTGGCGATGGGGAGCGGTGTCGTTCACTCGACATACGCGCCGCCCGATGCAGCCCGCTTCTGCCAGTTGAAGCCCGCAGGATCCGTGCCGCGCCGTGCCATGTGCTCCTGGTACTCTGCAACACACACACACACACACACACATATGGACACAATCATGGCACACACACTCATTGCGTGTTTGTCGGTCAGGTCACTTGACGTCCACACCTTTCGACTTCATGAGTTGGGCGACCTGCCTCATGGTGTACTCCCTCCCCAGCCTCTCGTACTCCTCCGCTGAGCACATGTTGATCACCATCGGCTCTACATGACAGAAGATGCCACACCACACCACACAACACCACACCCACACACACATTCGCACCCCATCTCCCACTTTGTCGCATCGCCCAGCTTACGGCGTTGCTTGTATGCGTTGAGCATGAGCCTCCAGAGCAAGTAGAGCAGCAGCAGCAGGGCCACCACACACCCGACGTCGAGGTACGGCACCTCTTCACGCAGGTTGAGGTAGGCCTGCTTGAGGGGCGACGGGTGGCCGTCAGACGACAAACGGCCCATCCACTGCGCCTGGTCCAATGCCGCCTTCATCCCCTCCAGGCCTTCCTCCAACCACTTGGCCATCAAGGGCACTAACGCAGCCAGCAGCAGTGGCGCACCGGGCAAAGGAATGGTTGGGACGAATGCACGCAGCGCTGGAAGCCTTGGAGCTCCGGAATGCTCCTTCCGTGTTGTGTTTTACACAGAGCAGAGCCCAAAGGAGCAGCGGTTTCAGGGAGCCCGAAGCGGGATGCGAGCTCAACATGAGAAAGAGATCAGAGCAGCGAGGAATGGTAACCGTGACGGCGACTCCACCGGACCACGATGACACGGTGGCGCCGAGGATACTTCCGAGTTGACAGATGGCTGATCTGTTGATTCTGCTCGCACTGATCTCGTCAGTGTGCGGCTCACAGCTGCCGAACGACGCTGCATTCACTTCTCTGTGGCAAGATCCAGCCTTCCTCCGGCCCCCTGCACCCCCCCACGGACATCTGCAGCAACCGGATGGCGCGTTCAGGCCGTCATGGATGCGGCGAAGACAGAGGACGGCGAGGTCTGCGCCGCATGCCAAGCAGGTCAAGTACCCGCCACACGTGCTGGACAACCCGCCCGCCACCAAGGCCACAGATGATGACGTAGGCGACATACGTGAGCCGAGGCAGGCAGGCAGGCAGGCAACTCACTCATACGAGGGTCATTCATCTGTCTGTCTGTCTGTTTCGTTGTGTCCATTCATTCCATCTATCCGTCCGTTGACTGGTTCAGGGTGCGGGGACGACCAGCACGACGTTCGTGTCGAGCCACTACCGCATCCCGCCGCACGAGGTGTCCGACTACCTCACCCGCAAGGCCCTCGAGTACCACACAAGCCCCCAGCGGTTCACCCTCAAGTACTGCCCCAAGTGCCCCCCACACAGGAACAAGCCCGACAACCTCTTCAAGCTCGAGGTCTTTCGCGACAACGGCAACTGCTTCTGCCACCGGTGCGGCTTCAAGGGCAGCTTCTATGACCTCAAGCGGGCCCTGGGCGACCTGCCGACAGATGTGCTCATGAGTCTCAACCCGGACCAGCAGGCTGCGGCGGTGCTGAATAGGGGGGATATCGGGGATGCCGCTGCCATACTGCCTGATCAGGTGGGTCGGTGGGCGCGTGGGCGTGTGAGTGGGTGGATGACACACTTGCTGTGCTGTGCTTGTGTGTGTGTGTGCAGGGGAATGTGACGGGGTTTGCATCAGCGCTGATGGAGGACAGAGTGTGCCCGGGGATGCTCGAGCGGCTCCAGAAGGAGCGGGGCCTCACCAAGGAAGTGGTGAGTTGAGTGAGTGAGTGAGTGACACACGGATACGCACCAGTCCGTTTACTTATGTGTCGCTCGCGTGGCCTGTGTGTCGGTGGGGGTGGTTGGGGGCGTCAGCTGGACAAGTACCATGTGGGCGCCGGCGTCTTCACGTTCCGGTCCAAGGACAATGAGAACGACTTCGTCACTCACGAGTGCGTGACCTTCCCCTGGATCACAGTGGAAGACGGACATCAAATCACCCTCAGGTAGCTGCGAGTGGGAGGACCGTGGGTGGGCCCGTGACGGGCACAACAGACGCCCGCCCGCCCTCCCTCTGTCTGTGTCCATCCAGGTACAAGGTGCGATCGATGTCGGACAAGTCGTGCATGCGTCTGGAGCCCAAGGGCGGCGTGTGGGGCCTCTTCGGCGAGCACACCATCCCAGACACGGCCGACTCCATCGTCCTCACCGAGGGCGAGTTCGACGCCATGGCGGTCCACCAGGCCACCGGGCTCCCCGCCGTCTCCCTCCCCAATGGGGCCAGGTCGCTGCCCGTCGCCCTGCTGCCCTTCTTCGAACGATTCAAACACATCTATCTGGTAAATCAGGCATGTCAGCCAGCCAACACAGTGAGTGTGTGAATTGGGGCGGGAGAGCATCGGGTCGCGTCGCTCATCGGCTGTTTGGGTGTGTTTCCTTACTTGCTGCTTGTTGTCGATCAATCAGTGGATGGATGCCGATGGCCCCGGGCAGGAGGGCGCGGAGCACTTTTCGCACAAGCTGGGGATAGGGCGGACCTTCCTGGTCAAGGACCCTGGCCCGGGCAACATCCCCGCCAACATCGACACTGGTGACGACACCGAGGCACTCAGGAGACCGCCCAAAGACGCCAACGAAGCGCTCATCAAGGGGTACGTTTGATGCGTATGCGCGGCAACAACAGCCCCACCCTCAGCCATTACGTAATGCATTGGCTGACGCACCTCATCTTTGTGTGCTGTTGTGCTGTTGTGCTGTGCTGTGCTTTGTTGTGCAGGTATGACCTGAGGAAGATGATCGACGTGGCGCGTCCGATGCCCCACTCGCAGATCCTCAACTTCGGCCAGCTGCGGGGCGAAGTGTTGGACGAGCTCCGTGACCCCGGGCGCGTCAACGGGGTGCAGAGCCTGACGGTTCCTGGTCTGAATCGGCTGCTCAAGGGGCACCGTCCTGGGGAGTTGAGCATATGGACGGGCGGAACGGGGATCGGCAAGACCACCCTGCTCAGCCAGCTGTCGCTCGACTACTGCCTGCAGGGCGTCCCGACCCTCTGGGGGTCATTCGAAATCAACAACCTCAGGTCACTGCACTGAGGGAGGACCCATAGGACACGACACACGCGAAGAGAGAGAGACGGACAAGAGAGACGACGATACGGTGTTTTGTGTTGTGTTGTGTGCAGGTTGGCCAAGATGATGATGCGTCAGTTTTCTGGGTGCAATCTGGAGCACCAGCCCGACCGCTTCGACTACTTCGCCAACCGGTTCAGCAGCCTCCCCATCTACTTCCTGCGCTTCCATGGCTCCACTGACGTCGACCAGGTCAGCCAACGAGCCGTCCACCCCTCCAATCTCATGCCACCCGGCATGCATCAATCCAATTGATCAGGTGCTGGACGCGATGGACTATGCCGTATACGTGTTGGACGTCAAGCACATCGTGTTGGACAACCTGCAGTTCATGCTCAGCGGCCAGGCCAAGGGCAACGAGGGATGGGACCTCCAAAACACAGCCATCGAGAAATTCAGACGATTCGCCACAACCAAAAATGTCCACATCTCTCTCGTCGTCCATCCCAGGAAAGAGGTGGGTCATCCATCCATCCGTGTGTGTGTGTGTTGGGGGGGGGGGGGGGG